TATATTGAAGTGTCATAGTCTATCCATCCACTTGTTCTTGGGACTCACACGTATTGCCGCAATCCTCTATCAGGAAGGATGGGTTTCGCCCAACAGCCAAATACATTCGGTGGATTACCAGGAGCCAAAAATATCAACAATGCAACGAATATAAACGCCACACGGATCAAAGAGACTCAACTGGTGAAGGTGGAGATGTTGGAAGACTGGCCACACACATGCGCAATCACGTGTTATGCTGCGGTATCTAGCTATGAGCGAAGGAGGACCAATATATTGGAAGGTACACTTTACGAAATGTGATTGACTGTGCATATAGTTAAGATTTTATTGTAATGTGTGAGATTTACGATTGGAAATCAATATACACGATGATTTAATAGAAGACTGACCCGACGCGTTGTAACTATATGTTCTGCGGCTCTGCCTCGCCCTTATTGATATTCTAAAATAATTCGTTCATTTGTTTGTAGTGAGTGTGTTTTGAGTATTGAAGCAGTTTGAGTAAACAGGTGAAACGCCACAATATAGTCCCAGTCGTTAAAGGCTAAAACTGTTGTTTTGGGGTTTTTTTTAAATTTTGACCACTTCATGAAGCATTTACAAAAAAAAGCCATGATTCAATTTCGGCACATTAACATATACCTGTAATCTTTAACATGTACCTGTAGTCTTTGACATGTACCTGTAATCTTCAAAATGTACTTGTAATCTTCAACATGTACCTGTAATCTTTAACATGTACCTGTAATCTTTAACATGTACCTGTAATCTTCAACATGTACCTGTAATCTTTAACCTGTACCTGTAGTCTTTGACATGTACCTGTAATCTTCAAAATGTACTTGTAATCTTCAACATGTACCTGTAATCTTTAACATGTACCTGTAATCTTTAACATGTACCTGTAATCTTCAACATGTACCTGTAATCTTTAACATGTACCTGTAGTCTTTAGCATGTACCTGTCATCTTTAACATGCACCGGTAATCTTTAACATGTACCTGTAATCTTTAGCATGTACCTGTCATCTTTAACATGCACCGGTAATCTTTAACATTTACCTGTAATCTTTAACATGTACCTGTAATCTTGAACATGTGCCTAATCTCCTCCTGCCACTGCAAACACAACAATCAACACAGATGACTGGTCGGTTGAGGAAATTCGATGGGAAGCGTACAAGGCCAACAGTGGATCTGGGGGAAGCAAATGGGAAGCCTACTGCAAAAACATGGAAGCGATGACAAACGATCTTACCATGAAAAGGAAAGCTATATATGAAAACCCTGATTTGGCTCTGAATCGATTTAATGAGCAACCACAGCATCCCAATCCTCCCAACTGTTTCGGCACCATGCAAGCCACTACCAGCAATTCCGGTCAAATTCAGGGCCAATTTGGTAGTCGGATAGGGGGGACGCCCGGATTCGGTGCAGGACGTTAAACACAGTGAACACAATTATTTAATACTATTTGAATTAAACCTTCCAACGCAATTATCTATTGTGTATTAATAGGTGTATAGTTAATATACGGTATCGTATTGAAGTTGCATCACATTTGCTTTTAGCTGGTCTCTATCAATTTAGGAAAGTAGTTCAATTTTCAATGCTTGATCGCATACGTATAGGCGCTTAACGTGGTCTCCATTAGAACATGTTGAGAACATGTTGAATTTCCATTAAAGCAATTGCAGACACGAACCTCACTTGCAATACCTTTGCAATTGTGCTAAAATGAACAATCTATACCTAGCTTTTAAGTCGATATATATATATTTGGCGGTTTGATGGTCTTATCTAGTTAATTCATATACAACTTATCTAGTTAATTCATATGC